CCGATTCATCATCGCTCGTTAGTAGTTCGAGATTAGCATCCCTAGCCAGAAGCGGGGTTTGTTGGTAGGAGGATTGGAGGAGGCCGACGGTTGCGGTTTGGTTAATTGGTTGACCGGAGTAACCAATATAACACAACATAACACAACATTATTATTACATGAGAGAAAATCTCATGTTAATGCATCAATTAATTCGTTATTTATATAATGAATAAAATATGAGAACCAACACATCGTTAACCATTACAATAGTACATGCAACTAATACAATTATCTTACAATTATTAGAAGTAGCTTAACAAAAATATATGACAATGGTACAATACTATTGAACGGGTGTGTATGTGTGAATTATCTTAATCTCTTAGTAATTACTAGCGCGGTTGAAAAAAACCATTTCCTTTAAGATTTTGCATCCAACATAATGTATGAGTTTTCTCCAAATGATGTGCTCACGTGTTGTTATCGACACTCTACAAAACCAAGTTATGTTGGTCTTTGCGTCACTGTTGCGGAGAGCTTGTCGGTTGAGCGACAGCATGAGAGGATTTGCTGGAGGGAAGGGGGTTTGGTCTTTGTTTGGTCGATGTTCCGATTAGGGGTGGACAACCGGTTCGGTAAACCCGAACCGAACTGAAACCGAATCGAAACCGAAATAATGTTATTCGGTTCGAAATTCGGAAAGAAAATATGGATATTTCAGAAATTAGGGTTCTTTCAACCGAATCGAAATTTCGAATTTCCGATCGAAAAACCGAAATTCTATAATTGCAAGCTCCAAATGGTGGATTTTTATGTTTGTAGTTGTGTTTAGACTTAAATATTTGAAATATTTAATGACTTATGTGTTGAAAAGTTTGATTTTATCATTGATGATGCATATAATTGCATATTTATTGTTTATATTAGGGTAAAAAATAATATAAAAGTGAGAAGATCAAGTAGCCTCACAAATTCGGTTTTGTGTGAAAAACCGAACCGAACTGAATTATAATTCAATTTAAACCGACCCAACCGAATTATAATTTGGTTTAAACCGTCCAAACCGAATTATAATTCGGTTCAAATTTGGTTTGAGGTTTGGGAGAATTCGGGTACCCGATATTCATAATTTCGGTTTGGTTGAAACCGAACCGACCGAATGCCCACCCCTAGTCCCGATGGTGGAGAACACGAGGGATAATGGTTAATAAAAATTGCGTAAATTATTTTATTATTTTCAATTTTATGGCCACCTTACTCAAAAAATTTACTCAACAATTCATTTGTTAAATCAGAGTCCATTAACAGTTTGCCTAATGGAAAGTTGATGATTTTGCTAATAAATTATTTTAGAAAATATTTGAATATTATTTTGTTTAAAGCTAAGGATTTCACTAATAAATTCTAAATTTAACCAAGCACAATGAAGACATCAAAAAGAAAATATAACATACCATTTGGTATAAATGAATTCCATAAGTTTTGAAAAATTCATTTGAAAATGAAATATTTTTGTGTTTGATATTTAAAAGAATTCATTTTCAATTTTAAATTTTGAATTCTACGGAATTTGAACTAGTTATAGCAATTCCAAGGAATTGAGATGGAATTTCCAAATGAATTCCACAAGTATTTACTAATTATAATAGAATGACAAAATTATCCTCTTTTATTAACTAAATTACTTATACATATGACATATCAAACACAAGAATTCATTTGACAATGAATTCTACACTACAATTCATTTTATTTCTAAAAATTTGAATATGACATACCAAACACAAGATTTCATTTGAAAATGAATCCTACATGGTAATTCATTTTACAATGAAATGAATTCTCGATTCATTTGATACCAAACGGTCTGTAATAGTTAAGCTCACCAAAAGCAAGCAACTTTATCTTCGCCAACGAAAACAGATACTCCGTGATTGGTATAAGAAAGTAAATCACAGGGTCAAATACCTCGGATATCACTAAAGTATGAGACTTGGGAGAGCTATACTACTTAACTAAGAATAGGGCATCGCGTATGAACTTTATTATATGTGCACCCAATACCAGTTACTTTTCCTGCTAAGTGCATTCCGTTAAAGTTGATAGAATATCCTTAGAATATCCTGTTTTCTAAAATTCATAATTGGTACTTCTACTTTGCTGATTGTATAAAAATCATTTGGACTTATGAAAAACATCATTTTTTATTGTTTAGTTGGAATCCTCTTTTGAAGACTCTGATACCAAACCAATTTTTGAATGATAAATTTAGAATTAATTATCATTATGTGTTCTAATAATTGAATAATTCCCTGAAACAAATATATCCTATGAATTCTATCTCAATATAAATCATCTGAACAGAATTTCACAAATCCTAGACTACAGGCAAGAAGAATACTTACGGTTTGTGCTCCTTGCAATTGCCATGGCTGGAAATGGGAATGGCAGGCAGCTACTAGCTTACTACTTCCCTCAATAGCCCTCGTGATTGATCTAGGTTTTAAGAATCTGCAAGGAAAAACACTCAATTACAGTACTTATAGGCGCATGCATGAAGGAGAAGGAGGAGAAGATATCGAAGAGTCGATAAAGAGAAAATGATGCTATAATCGCCATTGGGAATGGCTCGATTTGAAAAAATCTAAAGGGTTTCAAATGATTGATTGGGTATCTGCTCTTGTGAGCAATGAATGAAGAGATTTTGTGTCGTTTTCCTCTACAATCGAGGAGCATGGTGCGAGATTTGAGGAGAAGAAGAAGGGTTGGGGATTAGATTTTCAGATCGGCTCTAGGTTAAATGGATGAGTTTTTTTTGTAAAATGAGCTGGGATGGGGTGGCTTAATCGAGGTGAAATGGGCATCGAGTGTTGTCGGGGCGGACACCAAACCCACCATCGTTGGTCAACCGACTAGTGGGTTTTGGGTTCCCCGAAACCCGTCAACTAGGGGTGGTATTCGGTCGGTAACCGGTAAACCGGTTACCGATTTTACCAGTTTTCGGTATACCGAGTGTGGGTAAGTGGGAATCGATTACCGATACCAGTTTGTAACCGGTTTACCGGTTACCGAATTACATGTAAACGGTTACAAACCGGTTTTACCGACTTACCGTAAAGAGTAGTTGCGGACGGTTTTTCGGTTCGGTTTACCGGAAAATTACCGAACCGAATTTCTAGGCAATGGAGTGATGTAATATTTTTATTTTTAGAAGTTTTTTCTTCTTTTTTGTAATTAATAAATTACTATTAACTCTTATTTATAATATTTTTGAGGCCTATACTTACTTACTTTCATTCATGTATGTAATATTTGTGAACAATGAAGTATATATTATTAGTTAATGCCTTAACTGGTCCGGCATCGGTATTACCGAATTACCGTCGGTATTTACCGATACTGGGGCCGGTAAACCGAGCTTCCCCATTTGACCCTCGACTGCCGATACCGCCGATAAACGGTTTACCGTTTACCGACTTACCATTTGTCACCCCTACCGTCAACAATCCATTTGATCAAATTTTCCCGCCACAAATCGGGTCGGGTCTAGGCGGGTACCTGGAATTCAGGTCCCATTGCCAAGCCTATTCTCACGGGTTCATCACAATTAACCAAGATTTCCAAATTACCATTAACCAATTAATAACAACTAATTAATAATCATCCTAGATTAATCTAACGACCAGTATTCACTAAAGCAACTTCTTAAATTTGGTGGTTTGGGACCTGAACAAGGCCAAAAACGATTAATTTGCAATCTTACCAATTTTCCTATATCTCATTTATTTCACCGTGGATTCTACAAAAAGAAGAAAAAAAAAATTATTGGTAGTGAGCATTGACACAAGTTTTGTTCCGTTTTTCAAAAGTTGACAATGTAGTTTTATAAGGGTGATATAAATTATTTTTTTATTAGATACAATTTATATAAAAATTCATAATTATTTTGTTTGATTGTTTATTCTATGGTTAATATATTTGTATGACGTGAACTTTGACCAAAATAAAGATTCTGACCAATTTTTTCGATCTATAACATCTTGGTCCAAACTATGCATCAAAATAACTAAATTGGTCAAACCTGACGTTTGAGTTTTGACCGTTAACTTGGACGATCAAACGCGTTGACTAACGGTCAATTCGCTATGTCACTACCAACTCAGCAAATATAAATTTAAAAAATTCATGAATTCCACATAATATATATTTCTGAATTATTATATTTAAAATTAAAATTAAATCAAAAATAATAATAAAGGCCTCACACTGCCTTTTCTCTTTCTTCTAACTTTTCTTTCTCTTCCTTCTCTGTGATCTCTGTCCCCAACAAGGAGGTCGCCGGTGGCGCCTGGCGATGAGGGGAGTTTCAAGAGACTGGAGGGTGGGATCAACAACGGGAATGGTGCCGCCGAGTCTGTGTTCCAGTAGCAGGCGTTTTCGCAGCATCGGAACTAGAGGTGGGTGCATCTTCCTCTAACGATTTGCAAGGCTCTGACGTTCGGATCTGAGTTGGTGGCGGAAGAACAGAAGGAAGATGAAGAAGAAGAAGGCTACAGTAGCTCGGAGATGCGACGGAGGAGCTATAGAAGGTATCATGGATTTGAAAAGATCGTACTTTGTTAAACGGATAATTATGATTAACGTACCGATACATAGGACGACTACACAATGTTACCATTATTTAGCTAAGGTAAAATTATAGTTGAAACTACATTGTGACTTTCTACAAATCCTGTAATGTAACATGACTCCACATCAATCTGAAGTTCAAATTACACGAGTCGTCTATTCCGTATCATATCAATCAAATTCCACACCATATCACCCAAATTTCATAAACATGAATTAATTATTAATGTACACGAACCCCTCCAATAAAACTCCTCCGTTTCCTCCCTAATTACATGAGTTGATGACAATTGGACACAAAGCTAATTTCTCAGAATAAAGAAAACGCTCAAACAAAACACAAAAAAATGACATAAAAAAGAAGAAAAAAGGGATTATAGAAATCCTCCTCAGAAGTCAAATCCATCGTCAAACCCGGCACCATAACCCGCATCGTAAGCCGCCATATCCCCAACATCCGAAATCATATCACCGACCAACAACCCGCCCAGCAACCCGGCTCCGACTCCCAGCGCCATCTTCCCTCCGCTTCCGCCGCCGCTCTTGTGAGGCCTCTGCGCCATCGGCGCCCCGTACCCACCATAGGCGGGCTGCGGCGGATAACCCGGGTACCCACCGTAACCCGGCTGAGGCGGGTAGCCTCCGTAAGCAGGCTGAGGCGGGTAACCCGGTTGGGCCGGGTATGGATACGGGTACCCGCCCTGTGGATGACCCGGATAAGCTCCGTGTTGAGGCGGAGGAGGCGGCGGCGGTTGGTACGGCGGGTAACCCGAGCTGCCGCCCGCCCCGACTCCGAGATTCGGCGGGTAGGCCATCATCGGCTGGTTCGGATCTTGCTTCACCGCCTTTGGCGACGCGGCCGGGGCGGAGAATTTCTCGCCGAACTTGTAGGCGAACGTCAGCGTCCCTTTGCTCTTGCCGTTGGGAGTCCTGACCGCGTAAGTCGTCGATTTCTCCCCCGCCGCCCCGGCGGCGGCATCGAAGAGCTCCTTGACGGGGACGTTGACCTCGCCGATCTCGCGGTCGCCGAGGCTGCGGTCGGAGAAGATCTCGAATTTGATTGTGAGGCGGTTCTGGTGGAGGGAGGGCTCGTCGACGGTGAAGCTGACGCGGTGGTTCCACCTAGGGTTGGGGCCGCAGTCCTTGTCGACGGGAGTCTTGTGCTTCTGCTGCTTGGAGCTTTTGGGGTCGCCTTTGATGGAGGCGACGGCGTAGACGTCCATCTTGGAGAGGAGGTTGACGTCCTTGAGGTCCTTCGCTGATTGGATCGTGATCTCTATCGGCCTGCACTCCATGATCGGTATTCTTCTTTTTTTTGGTTTCAGGAGAAAGAGGGAACGAACAATTGAGAAATTTAGGGTTTCGGATTGAAGATTTGGGGGAGAAATTGAGACAGAGGATTCTGTTTCGGTGTTTGTTTGGCGGTGGAGGAAGGCGGAGAGAGGATTATATAGGGAGAGAGGGGCGACGGAGGGGAAAGTTCGGAGGAAGGGGGAAGGTCAATCAGAAAAGGTGGGGATATTTAATTATGAGTGTTTTTTCCCCCGATTTTTTATATAATTATTTGATGATAGGATAAATGCTTTTAGCCTTTTATCGGATTCTTTTGCTTCTTTTTTAGGGAATGTAAATAACTAAATATCTAACGCGTTTTTTTTAACAGAAAATAGAAAATCGGTTAGAAAGAGGGAAAAGGTTTTAATTCGGGATTGGGGGAATTTGATGTATCTGTGTTGAAATGTTAGCTAAATCAACTTTGCTCCGAAATGATTTGACACATCAACAATATAGTGAATATACATAAATACGAAAACAGTCTAACATAACTGTATAAGTAATAAGCAAAACATAAAAAATGGACAATTAAGCTAAACATATGACTATATGAGTAAGCTAAAAAAAACAACCATGACTTGATATGGTGGTAGTCAGCGGCGGATCTAGGGGCTGCCCCGGGTTACAGCCCAGCTCTCTCCGGATCAAAGCTCGTATAGTACTTGTAAATGTTTGATTTTGGATATATATTTTAATGTTTATAGAGTTACGACTCAGTCCTCTCCATCGCTTTTTAAATGCGGCTTATTGCTTTAACCTGTTCTGTATCCACCGTTGGTGGTAGTGTCACTAGTCTTTAGCTAAGAGAAATTGTCCGGACAATGACTTGATCTAGCACATCTTCTACTTAGGAATGACAATGCGTTGGTGAGATCGGTTTTTTTATATACCATTCCCATATCAGGGTTATAAAGTTGTAACCAACCACATAGCCAAAACCATGCATGGATATATGACATACCAAAACCAATATGTATATGGTTTGGGGAAATCCAACCTACACCATACTCGAACAATCTTATATACACTTCTTGACATAGTCTAAATTTTTTATTATATAATGTCGATGTTAATTGAAGTTTCTTTGTTGCATTGTTAGTAAAACTGTAAGAAAATGAGTAAGATGTGAGATCTCTGAAATAATTATAAAGTTTGAGAGATATGGATGAACAAAGGGTTCAAGTTGGTGATATTATAACATAGTTTTTTTATTACACAGGAACATCCCCACACAGTACACACCGCTTAAGTGATGGCGGAGCGAGACCAAACCTGGGGGGTTCATCTGCTTGAACCATTTGGGCCCTCCACAAAGATCCCCATTAAATGCCTCCCGGAATATGCCATAGCGGATCTCGGTGGGGGGTCGAACACAGAATCTGCCATTTCCCGGAACGAGCGCCCACTAAGAGTTTTCACCGCTAGGATATGTGAGCTTTGACTAAAATAAAACATAGTTATAACACATATTCGGATGGGCTCGATGCATGCAGATAGTTAAAATAACAAAACTGCACCAAATACATTACTCTCTTTGCCAGATTTGAGATAAAAATACTATCGTCCGAATTTTCTCCAGAAAAATTGATTCGAATTGAGTTGAATAATACCCGATACGTCAAGTATTTTACCATCCCTATACTTCCACCGAAAGGACTTACTATTCGAGGAGTATTTAGAAATTAGAAGCATAAATGCATAATGTATGAAAGAAAAAGAGAATTGTTGCGTTTCCTTTTTCTTGTTATCGAAGAAATAGAATTTATTCCTGATAAGTGGGAATATGTGTGAGATAATAAAAGAAAAACGAAAAAGGAGCTTCAGAAAATGAATGCCTGGGAGCCGCGTGTAGTGCGCGTATCTCATTCTTATGCCACTAAGCGGGATGGGATTAAGTCTCTGTTCTCCAATCTCCATTCTATCGGCGGGCGGATCCGTTTTCCAATTTCCTTTCTCCCTAAGGATTCGTCATCCAGCCTCTCACCCCACCACGCGCACAAACGAAACGCGTACGTCGTACCTATCGCCTGTTAGTCGGTTGGGCTCTCTTATAATCAAAACTAGCGTGGCCCCCATCAGTTGGCCGGAGGGACCACCAGTTGGCTGGAGGAAGCTAAGCTATGAAATTTGATAATGTAATGGGATGTATAGCTTATTGATGTATAGTTTTTTTTGGGAAACACGTGATAAAAATAATGAATTTTAGCAGGAAAGAGACATGAATGATGCAACGAATCAAAAATCGGCCTTATGAACCAAAATCAAGTACCTGTTACCTTGTGAAACAATATTGTTTCTGGTAATATGATGAGGTGGAGTAAGTTTTATAGAAACCGAATTCCAGAAAATCGAATAAAAAATTGCCTATCTCGTCGGTTTTCGGGAAATGAGCATCTCACAATCATTGTTAGCTTTTACTCGGTCCGTTGGCCGATTAATTTGCTATATAAAACTTTCATCTTGTCGTCATTGTGCTTTCTGGTTTTTGTCAGGCCATGATAAAATCTAAGAAAATCAAGAACGAACAACACGATTTGGGATAGGAACCGCCGTTGTCGTATCCCTAGAAAATGGTGGTAAACACGGACTCACCTGCCAAACTGGTTTGGATTGAGATTTTTATCGAGTATCAGGGAACCTTGTGATTATAAATTAGACTTGATCAAAACGGGCAAAAACTTGAAATTCAGCCTGTTTGACCGATTGTGTCCTAAACTATTTTTCCGTTAGAGTTGACTGGTGCTGACTGTTAGTTTTTAATAGAAAGTCTTGTCAGCGCTGATGTGACATTTGATGTGGAATTTTTTTTTTTTAATGAATAAAATAACAAAAGAAAAATAAAAAATCAGATCTGAAGATCTGCATCTCCGGTGAACAACTCTAATCACAATCATCTTTATATCCCTAAACCAACGACCGCTTGGAAATCTTCACTCACGCCCACCATCAGATGACTCCTCCTCCTCCCAGACCAGGGCTTTACCGTCGAATCTGAGGGGAAGCTTGGATCGAGGCTTGGAAATCTTCACTCATGACTGCCCCGTCGCTGCCTTCCTCCTGCAGATTCCTCTTCACTCAGACTATTGGAAGGAGAATTGGTTGTAAACAGATTATTGTTATGATCAAAAGACCTGATTTGTATTCATGTTTCCAGCCACATTTATACACTGTTATGCGAGATACAGGAGAGTTAGTTGAGTGATTGGAGGAGAGTATACAGGGGAGTTGAGGAGTGGAAACGTGAGTAGTGGAACAAACAAATAAATGGAAAAAAGAATAGTTATTCTTTTTCTCTAATACGCCCCCGCAAGATGGAGGAGGTATCAACGACGCCAATCTTGGATCGAAGGAGGGTGAAGCGTGGAGCAGGCAGTGGTTTGGTGAGCATGTCCGCGAGTTGTTGTGCAGTGGGAACATAGTGGACGTGGAGACGACCGGCCTGCACCAATTGGCGGACGAAGTGATAGTCAAGTGCCAGGTGCTTCATGCGGGAGTGAAAGCGAGGATTGGAGCTGAAACTGGTGGCACCCAAATTGTCGGAGAAGAGCGTTGGCGAAGAGAGGAGGGGTTGATGGAGCTCCTTGAGGAGATTCTGGACCCATTCCAACTCGGCTGTAGCGTGGGCAATCGCCCTGTATTCTGCTTCAGTACTAGAACGGGCCACCGTCCGCTGCTTTTGCGATTTCCAAGATATGAGGGTGGAACCCAAGTAGACAAGATAAGCAGAGGTGGAAGTCCGATCATCCCTGTCACCAGCCCAGTCGGAGTCAGCAAATGCAGTGATACGGAGAGGGGTAGTGGTGCGCCGAATAGCCAGGCCATAGGATAGGGTCCCACAAATGTAGCGGAGGAGACGCTTAAGACATTGCCAGTGAGTTATGGTGGGAGCATGCATGTACTGCGATAGTTTGTTGACCGAGTAGGCTATGTCAGGACGAGTGTAGACAAGATATTGCAGCGCCCCTAGAACCTGTCGGTATCGAGTGGCATCAGTGGGCGGAGTGCCATCAGAGAGAGTGAGCTGCACAGAGGAGGCGAGCGGAGTAGAAACGGGAGAGGCATCCAGCATATGAAACCGGGTGAGTATATCAATCATGTAGCGATGTTGAGAGAGAACATAGCCGGAGGCGGTAGGAATGATCTCAATGCCCAAAAAGTAGTTCACATCACCTAGTTCCTTGAGGGAGAACTTGGTAGCCAGCGCCAGTTGAAATGCCGTGAGAGTAGCTGGATCATTCCCAGTGAGCAAGAGATCGTCCACATAGACCAGGAAATAAAGTGTAACCCCAGAGCGATGATAAACAAATAGAGATTCATCGGATTGAGACTTCCGGAAGCCAAACTCAACAAGAAAAGAGCTGAGGGCAGTGTACCATGCACGAGGAGCTTGGCGGAGGCCATAAATTGCTCGGCGAAGACGGCATACATGAGTGGGACGATCGGGATCGACAAAGCCGGGAGGCTGAACCATATACACCTCATCTTCCAGCGGCCCTTGGAGAAAGGCATTGTTGACGTCGAACTGCTTGATCGGCCAGTGATGAGATAGGGCAATGGTGAAAATAGTGCGAACGGTGACCGGTTTGACCACAGGACTGAAGGTGTCCGTGAAGTCAATACCCGGACGATGATGAAAGCCTTTCGCAACCAGCCGACACTTGAAGAGATTGAGGGAACCATCAGAGTGATGCTTGATGCGATACACCCATTTATTGCCGAGGACATTGAAGTGAGGTTGCCGAGGAACAAGATCCCATGTATGATTATGGAGCAAAGCGGAGTGCTCCTTGCGCAGGGCCGCATCCCATTCTGAGTATTGCATGGCCTCACGAACAGAGCGTGGTTGAAGTGGAGGGGAGCGGGTAGTGAAGTCCACTGTGAAAAGCCGCTTGGGCTTGTAGATGCCATGCTGGGCCCTTGTGGTCATCTTATGTGTGCGAATAAGGGGAGGAGGATCAGC